TTTGCTATTAACTATTCTATTGTAGAGTGTAAGTGACAATTCTTCCTGCAATTGACGTGAAGTGGTACTGTGTGAGAGCTCCCCCTTCTGGCCTCCAGCCTACATTTCAGCGAAGTTTCCCTTTATTAATTTTCACACAGTACAAGCCTCTTCCCCTTTCTCAGGCTGTCCCGTCTGCTTTCCCTCAAACACTCCAAGCCCCTTCCGACCTCAGGACATCTGAGCTAAAACCTGAAGGATTTAAGTGCAGAGAACAGAAAACAGACTCCAGCTGGTTTAAACAGGAAGGAATGTGTTACAGAGTGGTATGTGTTATAAATAATCCGGAGATGAGAAAGAAACAAATTTAGGGTTGAGCTTTCAGGAACAACTCCCAAAATCACACCACAGAAGAGTGCTACCAAGGGAGCTGCCCCGGCTGGAAACCCTTGCTGCCCTTGGGGGAGCCACCAGGAGCCGGGAGGCCCTGCTGCGGCCACTGCAGAGCCACACCTGCCACAACCCAGGGGCACTCCCGGCAGACAGCAGACGCACTGCCAGCCCCGCCTCTTACCCTTCTGGACCTGGTGCTCACACTCTGGAAATGGCCACAGAAAAAACAAAGGCCTGAAGGCAATATTTATCTGCAGAAACTCACACCTTCCAAAGGTCACGTATTGGCTGAACCGAAGCCACACCCAAAACTCTAGCTCTAACTGAAAGGGAGTCTGGGAAATACAGTTTCAGCTTTCTAGCCTGCTGGCAGGCCCAGAGAGGAGGGGTGGATGGATACTGAGTGGCAGTCCATCATATTCATCACCATGTGCATGCATGTGTATGTTTGTATGCACACGTGCCCACACATATGTATGTGCTATGTACATATTTGCATGTCTCTGCATTTGTGTTTGTGGATCACATGTGCACACACGTGATGGGGGAAACTGGGGGATTAATAGGCCATCAAGATCAGAGAGGAGTTATTGCCAAAAAGACCAGCAGATGCTGGAAACCAATTCCCGCATGACAGCAGGGCTGAATCTGGGAATGGCTGAGGGCATTCCCCCAAACCTGAAAAGGGATGATTGCCTGGCTGCCAGACAGGGCAGGACATCTTAATCTACATGTTATTGCCTCCTACTGGCCAAACACCTGAACAGCCGTAGGCTAATTCTCCCATTCTGACAATGCTTGTGTATACCCTTTGAAGTGTATATCTCTGCCTCGCCTCAGGACAAATCGTGTTAATAAAAAGCATGGGGTCCTGAGAGGAGGAGACCTTAGACCAGTGGTTCTCAACCTTCCTAATACCGCGACCCTTTAATACAGTTCCTCATGTTGTGGTGACCCCCAACCATAAAATTATTTTCGTTGCTACTTCATCACTGTAATGTTGCTACTATTATGAATCATAATGTAAATATCTGATATGCAGGATGTATTTTCATTGTTACAAATTGAACATAATTAAAGCATAGTGATTAATCACAAAAACAATATGTAATTATATATGTGTTTTCCGATGGCCTTAGACAACCCGTGAAAGGGTCATTCGACCCCCAAAGGGGCCGCAACCCACAGGTTGAGAACCTCTGCCCTTAGACCTAAGAACTTAGAACTTAGATCTTAGTTTCCTTTAAGCTAAGCTCCTCTGACCCCCAAATGCCTTTCAAGATTATGCTTCGCCTCTGGACTCTTATTTAATCTATGCACTGCCTTCTCCAGATTGCTGAACCCTTCTTAATGCTGGAACAAGAACCCCGGCAATAATCAGACACTTCCTCTGTGTGGACCAGCACCAGAGCTCCCAGGGCCATTCGGCCAAGATGGAAAAGCAGGCTTGAACCGTTCAACAGTCTTATTTTCCTAATGGGAAAAGCAAGGCCAGAGGAATTATGTCCCCTGTTCAACGTCACACGGCAAGGCACTGGTCTAAAACACAGCCAGGCCCTCTAGGGGTAAGGTCCATGTTTTCTACTTGAAATGTAACCAGGCTCCCAGGGAGGGTTATACACGAGGGATCCTCCCACACTGGGCGCCCGCCCTCTGCCTGCTCCACAGGTCTTTCGGCAGCATGTTCCATGTACTTCAATAACGGCAAACATTTACAGACGCCTGCTCTGTGCCAGGCAGTGTAGGCAGGTGGGAGGTGGATGAACACATAGGTACGAGTCCTCCCCTCCAGGAATTCCGCGTCCTGTTGGGGAGTCAGGTGCAAAACCTCAACAGAGTCAGGAGCCTAACAGGAGAGATAGGGCACTGCGGGGACATCCTAACTGTGGTCAATAAGGAAATTGAGGCTCAGCAAGGATCCCTGACCAAGCCAAGGTCACACAGCCCGTAAGTGGCTGAGCCCAGAATTGAACCCATTATATTTGAACCCAAACCCATGCTTTTAACTATAGGAGGCAGGATAGCAGGGAGTGTGGACTTAGGTGTCACCCAGACCTGTGCCCAAATCCTAGGCTCAGCTCCTTGCTACTTATGTGCCTTAGGTGAGCTACCAACCTCTCCTTGCTTTGGTGTTCTCTCCGTAAAATGAAGCCATGAGTATTTTTCCTTGTGCAAAGGTGGGAGGGTTAGATCGACAATGCATGGGAAAGGCTGAGCCAGTGCTGGCACATAAGGAACCTTCGATCAACGTTAGCTCTGGTTACCCTAGGTTCTCAGCCTGCCAGCCCCAGGCCCCTGAGGGCGGAGGTAAGGCGGCTTCCCTGGATCTTCCAACGTGTAGAAGTCACATCTCTCCTCCAGGCTGACCTTGTACACAGTGAAGAAGTTAATAGTTACCAGCAGCTGGAGATGGGGGGAATGGGGACAAACTTCCAGTTATAAGATAAATAAGGTTGAGCCCTAGCAGTTTTGGCTCAGGGGATAGAGCGTCAGCCTGCGGACTGAAGGGTCCTGGGTTTGATTTTGCTCAAGGGCACGTATCTTGGATGCAGGTTCTCCGGCCCGGCCCGGGGCGGGGTGTGTGCAGGAGGCAACCAAAGGATGTGTCTCTCTCACGTCAATGTTTTTCTCTGTCTCTCCCTCTCCCTTCCACTCTCTCTAAAAATCAATGGAAAAATATCCTCGGGTGAGGATTTTAAAAATAAAATAAAAATGAACTGTACACCTGGCTAAACTCTTGCACCCTGGCACGTTGAACAAATGAGTACATGAGCGGGCTTTCCAGAACGGCTCATAGCCAAAGTCAAACAAGGCTTATCCCAAACCCTGTGCAGCAGGGACTCGTCATCCCTTCACAGGTAAGGAAGCTGAAGGTCAGAGAGGTGGGCAAGCGGAGGAGTCAGGAAGGGAACCAGGCCTGCCAGGCTCCAGGTTCAGGATCTGGCCACCACCGGATACTTAGCGCGACCCCCCCCTCCACCCTCCCTCCCCCACCGCCCTCCCCCCCACACCCTCCCTCCCCCACCACCCTCCCCCCGCCCCCACCCCCCTGCAAAGCCCTGCCACTCTCCCAAGCCAGGACTCACCACCCTGGGACTCCTTGGGAAACAGACCAGAGAAAGGCTGAGGCAGACCGAGCTCACAGCCCTTGAGGCCTTTCAGAGGATGGTGGGCAGGTCCCAGGCCTCTTCGTGCTCAGACCGCAGCCTACCTGACCCTACATCAGGGCTGCAAGCTCAGATGTCTTCCTGGGTGACTCAGGTGAGTCACTTAAGCGATAAAGCAGCGAGTGGGTGCTGAGGAGGAGCGTGGGAACTGGAGTGGATGGAGGATGTGTTCCATGGCAAGGCACCACAATCTTTGTGAGGTTCTTGTTTTAAACACAGGGAAGGCCAAAGCAGACAAGCCTTTGGGCCTCTAGTCTGTGACCTCTGAATTCATACCTGGGCCTTCCCGCCTCTGCCACTTCACCCCCGTCCTCCTGCTGCAGGGCCTCTCCATGCAGCTCCCTGCCCCCGCCACTCTCCCGCGCTCTTCGCCCCACCTGTTCTCACCGTTTTCCTCTGACCCTGCACATTCAGTAACAGAACCCAGGCCCCTGGATTCCAGCCCAGGCCTCCTCCCCCTCGTCCTCTGCTATAAACTCTCCAGCCCTGGGCTTTCCCGTGACTGCTCCAGAATCAACTAATATTCATTCCGGTGGTCAGTCAGCCTCTCCACCCACCCCTTAGGGAGCACCGTCTTTGTATCCGGCTGTTCTAAGCCCTGGGGAAATGATATACTATTAATACGGGGAAGTTCTTGCCTTCGTTGCTCTTAGGGGTAGTCAGACAATACAGTGATGATCACACACATGGATATGATAATAAAAGCCCAGCGACTGAAATGGTGGAAAGACCAGAATGACCAGAGACCAGAACAACCACAGCCCCTCACCCTGGCTGGCCTCCCCCCAGCAAGTGGTTAGGGGTGATCAGGCAGGCAGGTGAGCAGTTAGGGGCGATCAGGCAGGCAGGTGAGCAGTTAGGGGCAACCAGGCAGAGTGCTTAGGGGCAATCAGGCAGAGGTGATTAGGGGTGATCAGGCTGGGATGCAGAGGCGATTAGTGGCAATCAGCAGGCAGGCAGAGTCAGTTAGGGGCAATCAGGCAGGCAGGCGAGTGGTTAGGGGCCAGCGGTCCTGTATTGCAAGAGGGATGTCTGACTGCCAGTTTAGGCCCAATCTGCAACAGGATTGGGCCTAAACCGGCAGTCGGACATCCCCTGAGGGGTCCCGGATTTCAAGAGGTTGCAGGCCGGGCTGAGGGACACCTCCCCCTTCCCCCCCTGCACAAATTTTGTGCACTGGGCCTCTAGTACAGTAATAAAGGCTATGTGGGGAAATAGAGAGTTCACTTAGAGAAATGGGGGCCCTTATTTAGACTGGGAGCCAGAGAAGACTGAGGACTCAGAGGTTCCATCTTTCTTTTCTCTTATAAATTTCTTTCTTTCTCTATGTATGTTTTTAATCCACGGTTGGGAATCTATGTTTACGGATTATCAACTGCGGTGTGTGTGTGTGTGTGTGTGTGTGTGTGTGTGTGTGTGTGTGAATGACAGGAGGTGGGAGAAAAATAACAGGAGCCAATGTTTGTTGAATGGTTCTGTGCACACAGCCTGGAGCAAGGAGCTTTCATCCCTATAGCGAGCTTATTAGTACAATTGACCTTGAATCACACAGGGGTCAGGGGCATCCCCCGTGGCCTTGGAGGTTCAGCGGGATCCCGGCCACTCCCAAGCATGCTCTTCCTCATTCCCCACGGCACCTGGCCCAGAGCAGGTGTCTAGACCAGCGCTCACCAACCTTTCGGACCTCACGGACCACCAGTTGGCAACCGCTGGTCTAGACTATGGCAGGAAGGGGAGATGGTGATGACCTGGAGGCAGGTTAGAGGTGGCAGAACCTCAGGACAGACACTGGTATGGCCCTGAAGACAGCCCTCTCAGCCACCTCCCACGGCCCCTGCTCCACCCTGATTCTGGCTCACCACGCCTCCTCATGTGGGCACTGCTCCAGGCCTGTTTCCTGACCCCGAGAGTCTCTGTGTTCAAAGCCCCTCCTTCCTCTATAGCCCCCACCCTCAGGCTCCCCGTGACCCCGAGGACACAGCCCAGGCCCCTCTGCCTGGCCCTTCTTGGTCTGGTCCCTCAGCCCTGACCTTCCATCCCCTGCCCCCAGCCTGACCCCAGATGGGATGGGCACTGCACTGAGGGTGAGGGGGCAGAGAACATGGGAGGCACACACTCTGGCTTCTTTATTGGGCAAAGTCTTAGAGACTCTGTAAGGCACGGAGTCGAGGAGGGTGACGGGGCGCCCGGGGGGTGTGGTCAGGAATACCAACACCTCAGTGCTGGGCATCCCATCATAGCGCATGCTCCCGCCCTCTGGGCAGCTCTGGGCATTTCTCTCCTCAGGTCCCTCTCCTTGGGAGCCTGGGAACAAAGGGCCCTTTTTCCCCCAAGAAGGTGAGTCTGGGTGATCAGGGGCGGGGGGGAAGGGAGAGGAAGTCCCATGGTCTGGGGTAGCAGAGGTGTGAGCCTGAGCTCCTCATCCCTGGAGGCACTGAGAGTAAGGCACTCGGCTCAGGGGCAAGTGCTGGCAGCGGGGCAGGGTCCGCCTGGCACCAGGTGGGCAGGCTGCGGGGGCTGTCTCAGCTGAAGTCCCGGCTGGGCAGGAGGAGGGGGGCCACCAGGGTCCACAGGTAGAGCAGCAGCCCGGCCCAGCTGGCACAGATCTTCACCCACACGGCGGTCCAGGTGCTGACCATCTTCTGGGTCTCACCGGGTCTGGAACACACCATCATGCCCGTGAGCCTGGCCTAGGCTTATGACCTCAGTCCTGGCCTGACCTTATGACCCAGCTGGGACTCCTGACTTCAACTTTGACTCTTATTCTGTAACTCGAGTCCCCGTCTCTGGTATTTTTGACACTTGGTCTTAAGTCTCCAGACACAGCTCTCGACCTTGGACCACAGACCGGATCCTGACCTCCGTTCCAATCTTGACCTCAGTCCTAGACTAATACAGTGACCTGGCTCCTGGAGCTCCAGGCCTTAGTCCTGACCTCTAACCTTGACTCTGACCCTCAATCCTATAACCACCCCCGACCCCGACCCCTGATTTTATGACCACAGTTTTGATATCTGACTTCAATTCTGACCCTGGGCCCTGTGACCACAGTCCTGGCCCCTGGCATTGTTACTCTTATCTTAGCTCCTTGACTTGTCTTTCTGGCCCCCTAACCCCAATTTTAATCAAATGACCAAATTTGTGACTTTATATGGCCCCAATCCCAACTCTTGACTTCATTACTCCTAAATTACTCCTATTCTTAACCCTGTGACTTCGATTCTGACATCTACAGCCTAATCCTACCCCTCCAACCATGAGTCCTAGATCTGACTCCATAATCCAAATCACCACACCCGATCTGTAAGCCCAGTCTTCGCTGCACAGGCCCAGCCCACCTCCTGTGATCTCCACTTTTCAGTGGAGGTGCCAGGGGCTGAGCAGTCCTAAGGCACTGGCAGGGAAACTGGGTCACGGATGGGGCAGGCTCCGTGGAGGGTCCTGGAGAGATGCCTCCATGCCCAAGTCTTGAGCAGGTTTTCCTACACCTCAGTGAGGGGCCCGAGGAGGGGAGATGTGTGGCCAGGCTCCGAGGGCTCTGTCCATGCCCGGCCAGGCTGCACGCACCTGTACCAATTGGTGAGCGTCATCATGATGTGCAGGGAGGCGAGCACCAGGCAGAAGTGGAAGAAGGAGTAGCTGTAGGTGACGCCGTCCTGCTCATTGTCAAAGGCCTGGCCTGCCACCTGGTGCTCCTGCGCGCCCTCCAGGATGGGCGGGCACTCCTCCGTCCGCATCAGACTGTTCACCTGCCGGTGGTTGGAGGAGCGCACGCTGCAGGGGAGGGAGGAGGTGGGCAGGTGGGCAGTGCCAGGGGGCCTCATGCACCATGGCACTGGTCATAACAATGGACATGATGGTCCCAGAGCCTTGAGGGCCCGGGATCTGGTGCTTAGGTCCTGGGACCAGGAGTTAACAAACTGCTTTGATTCTCAACCCTCCTCCCACCCCCTGTATGAACTTGGGCAAGGCACCCCTCTCTGAGCTTCTGATTCCTTGTCTATAAAATCAGGGACAGCCCTAACTGGTTTGGCTCAGTAGATAGAGCGTCGGCCTGCGGACTGAAAGGTCCCAGGTTCGATTCTGGCTAAGGGCATGTACCTTGGTTGCGGGCACATCCCCAGTGGGGGGTGTGCAGGAAGCAGCTGATGGATGTTTCTCTCTCATTGATGTTTCTAACTCTCTATTCCTCACCCTTTCTCTCTGTGAAAAATCAATAAAATATATTTTTTTAAAAATCAGGGACAGCAGTACCTCCCTTACAGGGTTTTTGGGAAGATTGAATGAAATAATGGTGTAAAGTCCCTAGCACTGTGCCTGATACAATATAAAGAAATAAACTGCCTCTATTATTCTGGTGGTTCAGTTGCCATTTCCCTTAACATGTATTGAGTACTTAATGCTGCAAAGCATCATACCAGGTTCTACATTTATTAATAATGTTAATAATTAACCATGCCCACTTGCTATTAAGTTTGTTTTCCTTCTATTAGTTTTAGGTAAGTGGCTTTACCAATTACCTCCCCTTTCTTCATGTTTATAATTTTTAAAATAATAATAGTAATGATATTTTGGTCATTGCTTTTCTATAATGAGGTCTTGATGTTTTTAACAGTAATAGTGTGAGACTCATAGACAATTTTGAAAATCCAGTGGTATTTTGGAAAAAAAGCGAAAGGACCTGGATTCCAGCCACACCTCAAACTGAGGTCACCCCTTGCTGAGCTGCAGCTGCCCCCCGCCCCACACAAACTGCACATATAAGCACACATGGGGGGGGGGTGCGTCTAGCTGGGGTGAAAGCCATCATGGTCCCTGCTTCCTGGCTGCTTATGCTTCTTTGCTTCCTGTGTGTGTTTTCTTTTTAATTAATGCTTTAAAATAAATAAATATATATATATTTATATATATATATATAATCTTTATTGATTTCAGAGAGGAAAGGAGAAATAGAAACATCAATGATGAGAGAATCACTGATCGGCTGCCTCCTGCATGCCTCTTTACTGGGCGTCGAGCCCACAACCTGGGCATGTGCCTTGACTGGGAATCAAACCCTGACCTCCTGGTTCAGAGGTCACAGCTCAACAGCTGAGCCACGCTGGCCAGGCACGTCCTGTGTTTTAAGAGCTAAGAACACAGCTCCCATGGTTCTCAGAGGTGCTGCCCAGTGACCTCAGGCCAGGGAGGTGTGCGTGTGAGAAGCCTGAGGAAGCCAGGTGCCGGATGGGCTGGGGAGGGCGTGTGCTCAAGCCCCACCGCCACTGCGTGCTCACAGCCTCAGACAAGCGGCTGCCCAACACTGAGTCCCAGTTTCCTCTAAAATGGACCTGACAGGGGCCTTTCCAGATGAGAAAAGGAGTCAAATGAGGTGACAAAGACGAGAGATGTTTGTAAACTGCCCAAACTTGACTTGGAGAAAATGTCTGAAAGAGGGGGGCATTGTGAAACAGCCTCAGAAAGTACCACCCGGGGCCTGGAGGAGGTGTGGCCAGAGGTGGCCTCCAGGGAGGAAAGGGCAGGCAAAGGAAGTGGCGCCTGGAGAAACGCTGGGCCCCAGAGCCAACACTGAGTCTGCCAGATTCCGTGTAAACACAGTTATACTTGAGCTCACCATCTAGTGACACGTACAAAACAGCCGCCCAGCTGTGCAAATGTTCAAAGTTATTTGTAATAATAGCAAACATGTATTTGGTGCCTATGACTTGCCAAGTTCTTTTCCAAGTGCCCGATACACGTTAACTCACCTATAGCCCTACAACAATCTACTGAGGAAGGTGCTATTTCTATTTCTATTTTCCAGATAAGGAAACTGAGGCCCAGAAAGGTTAAGTGACTCTTCCAAAATCTCACTGCTAATTAGCGCCCGTGCCCGGCTCCAACGCAGGCCGTCCTGGCTCCAGAGTTCACACCGATAAGCCCTGGCTAAGATGCCCCTTTAAAAAAAGTTGTCATGTGATCTTAAGTAGGAGCTGCTCCCTCTCAGTCAGACTGTGGGGTCCCAGCCACCCTGGGCATTAGAGGTTATCATATCCTTTTACTGAGGAGGAGCCAGAAGCTCAGAAACGGAAAGCCACTTACCCCAAGGCCACAGCAGGTGAGTGACAGAGCCTGGACCCACTGGCTCCAGTCCAGGCTCTTTCCCTGACCCCACAGTTGCCTGCAACCAACTGAGCTGGCACATAGCAGCCCAGTGTCCAGGAAAGGGCCTGGGGCCAGGAGGCAGGGTTCAGCCCCGCCTCGGCTGCCAGTCACACTGTGCCCACCAGCACAGTGCAGGGGCTGGACATGCTGCCTCCAGCCTGGTGTCTCGGCTCCCACATCCTCTCCTCTCTTCCAGCTCTGGGCCCCCCCCCCCATCAGGATCCCTCCCCAGAACCCAGACCCCTGCCATACCTGATGAACAAGGTGCACAGGATGAAGACGATGAGACCCACGATGCTCGGTGCGTCCCACCACTGGGTCACATAGCCCTCAGGGCCTGCCAGGATCGTCTCATTGTCCAAGTATGTCAGCAGGTGGGGGTTGCATTTCTGGTCTGGGGATAGGAGTATGGTCACCCTCAGCCCATGCAGGCCAAGTCTGAGGAGCCAGTTAGCCCTGAGGATGGGCAGAGAGCCAACCCAAATGGACAGACAGACACGGAACCCATCGTCCAAGTCCCAGCGTCAGAGAGCACTTAGCAGACAAAACGACAAACAGCTCCAGGAGCAGATGGGGTCCTCCCACTTTCCTGAAAGGCGAAGCCTCAGACTGAGCTGGGGCTGGGATGTGCCTGTCACCTGGAAGGGTCCCCAGCCCCCCCAGAGGGCCATTACTAGCCTAAGAACAAAACCAGGCCTCCTCAAACCCAGGCCCATACTCACCGGGGACATTGGACAGAGCCAACCAGGTGACGAACATGGTGTAGAGCGTGACGGCCGAGGCCTGCAGCAGACCCGAGTTGGGCTGGGCGTCCTGGAAAGAGCAGCTCATCAGTGAGCCCTGCCAGACCTGGGGACACCCCGCCCCCACTCACCCTCCACCAGGGAACCTCAGAAACCCTCACCACCCTAGGGCCATCCACCCCACACCACCCAAGCCACCCACCACTTACCTAGCCCACCCAAAGGTGGAGTCCTAATTCTTTCTCCTAACAGATTGCACCCTTGCTCCCCTGCTGAGAACCCCTCAAGCATGGCGTCCCTGCACACTGTGAATCAAAGCCCTCCCTGGTCGGTCCCACCTTCACCGCCACCCGATCCTGCTCCCATGGTCCTTCCTGCTGACTACACCCCAGCCACTGTGGCCTCCTTGCTGCCTGTGGAACGTGCTGAGCCCTCTCCCGCCTCAGGGCCTTTGTACTCCCTGTGCCCTCTCCCTGACATCTCCCTTCCCGGATCTCTGCATGGGCCGCCCCTCTTTAGCTTTCAGGCCTCAGCTCAAACAGGACCCGCAACAAGGCCCTGAAAATCCTGCCTACAGCAACCCTGGCCCTGCCTACCTTTGAACCCGCTACCCTTTTACTTCCCTCATAGCACTCATCCAGAACGACCTTACTTTGCCTGGTCTATTGCTTATTCTTTCCCACCCTTCACCACACACACGCCTGAAAATATGCATCTAAACTCTGTAACTAACAGCACAGGCTCTGGAGCCAGTCTGCCTGGGTTCAAATCCCAGCTTCACCCCTTATAGTCGTGTGACCTCAGGCAAGTCTCTTTATTCCTCTAAGCCTCTGTTTCTTCATCTGTAAAATGGGGACAGTGATGGTACAAGGACTAAATGACATGATCGATGGCATTAACTGTTCGCTATTATAATTATTCTTCCTCCCCTTCCTCACAGCCGTATCCCCAACATCTAGACGGGCGCCTGATACACAGTGAGTGCTCAAGAGGTGTTTGCTGCATGAAAGTGATTGCTGTGTGACCTGGGACAGGTGCATCACCCTCTCTGGGCTTTAGTTCTCTCAATGGGAAATGGAGGCTCTGACCAGAAAGTTCCCAAACGTTCTGCTAAAGACCCCTAAAAACTGCCTAAGCTACCTTTGAATCCCCTGGTGGGCTGAGGTCCCAAACTGGGAAGTACCACTGAACTCAGGAGGCTTTTTTTTCTGAAGAGCAAACAATTACTTGGGAACCCCCATTCATTATCCCAGACGGTCTGGGATTAGAAACTGGAACTGTACCTCCTAAGACTACTTCTTGAGGTGCCTAAGAATCATTGCTCAGGGATGTCCTCCCAATTTACATTTAAAAAATGACAGCACCAATAATGATAACACTAGCCAGTGCCTGATGTTTGTCTATATGCCAGGCACTGTTCTACATGTTCACAAATATGATCTCAACCCTCCAAATAGTAGGTATTATTATCCTCGTTTTATATTTGAGAAGAGAGAGGCACAGAGAGGTGAAGGCACTTTGCCAAAGACCCCTGAAATGTAGATGTGAGAGCCAAGACTCTAACCCAGGGAAGCTGACTGGGGAGCCCCCACTCTTAGCCCAAGGCTCTGTGACCACCAGCCCTGCCCAGGATGCCAAGGTTCCCACAAGACATCCCACACACCAGCAGACCTGGTTTCCGGCCAGGCAGAGCCTGGCAAGCTCACCTGGACCTTGGGCAGGACGGAGATGATGGAGATGCAGATACAGAGGGTGAGATTGAGGCTGATGAAGACCTTGCCCTCGTAGCAGGCGTCAGGCTCGGTGTAGTAAACGAAGAGCAGGGCCACGGCCACAATAGACAGCGAGTAGAAGAGGAAGGTGAAGAAGAAGAGGCCTGGGCAGGAGGGCAGCAAGCAGGGGGTCAGGAGACACAGGGACCCCCACTCCCTCCAGGGGGCTTGTTGAGCCAGCCTCCACTTCGTCATCCAAGGAATGACAATGGTCATTAGGAAGCCTCTTAAACTTCCATCATTCACCAACACCTTGGTGAGTTTTGGCCCCATCCTGAACTAAAATGATTCACTTTCCATAAATAATCATAAAAATAAAGACAATGAATGGGGAGGGGGATAAAGGAGACATCTGTAATACTCTCAACAATAAAGATTTTTTTTAAATAATAATAATAAAATAAATAAGTACAATGAATACAAAATGATTATTTAAAAAGTGAACTAGGTCCAGCCAGTGTGGTTCAGTGGTTGAGCATCGACCCATGAACCAGGAGGTCACGGTTCCATTCCTGGTCAGGGCACATGCCCAGGTTGCGGGCTCAGTCCCCAGTGGGGAGCGTGCAGGAGGCAGCCAATCGGTTACTCTCTTTCATGATCTATCTCTCTCGCTCTCTCCTTTCCTTTCTGAAATCAGTAAAAACTTTTTTTTTTTAAGTGAACTGTATGTGTGGGATCTGCTGACGCCTGCTCTGGCTGCCAGAGAGACAGCAAGTTCAGAGAGGCCTGAAAACCAAACCGGCGCCTCAGTGAACCGGGACCCTTTCTGCCACTGGGTTTCAAAGACCAAGTGTCACTTGAAGTTTGGTCGGGGCTGGCTGTGCACGGCTCCTTCCTCAGGAACCGCTGAACTAGACCCTCTGAGGTCTCCCCAGTTCCTCTCCCCTCTGACCTGCTGAAGTTGCCCTGGAATCGGCTGCCCACACACACACCCTTCCCACCCTCTGCCTTGCACAGTCCAATTCCTGCACCAAGGCAGGGGCTGCTCGAGATGCCCTCCAGGCACTTATCAAGCTTCAGAGACCCCTGGATTCCCCCCCAAGGCCGGCCTTGGCACTGACCTGCGTACCAGGCGCGGGAGTCGCACTCCTCGGCCTTGCCCAGCCACTGCTGGTTCCAGGAGTGTGCAAAGTCGATGAGCAGCACCAGCTGGATGAGGATGAAGAGGAAGGAGCCCACGACACCGAAGTAGAACCAGACTGGATGGGGAGAGGGGAGTGAGGCGAGCCAGTCTGGCCCTGGGCAGAAGCCTGGGTGCCAAGGCCCCTGACCCACCCGGCTCCCTGGGATTCCTGGGGCAGGCACAGTCCCGTGGGCTCCCCCTTACACACATTTATTCATTCAACAATCATTTGTGCCAAGCCCTGCACTGGCACACTGAGAAAAAGCAAAGGCCCTGCTCTCAGAGAGCCCCCAGCCATGCACTGAGACAGTGTGGCAGGGCACGGGTCAGCGTGGGGCAGGTACCTCCGTCCCCCTCTACCCAAGGTTGCCCAGAGGCCATATGACCACGGACCAGAGCGCTGTCTCCTGACTAGGAGCCAAGGCCCCAGTCAGCAGCCTGTGGTCTGGGTGCCAGGACACAAAGCAGCCCCACCAGCACTCCTCCCACTGGGGACCCCACGCCCCTCCTGGTGGCCTCCAACCCTCCCCACCAAGATGCTTACTGTCGGAGAAGGAGCCATCGGGGATGTAGAAGGCACCCACGGTGATGCCCACAAAGATCAGGAACTTAAAGAACCAAAACCTATGGGATGGGGATTAGGACAGACAGGACAGTGGAGCAGAGTTAGAGGAATAGAGCTGACTCCCAGAAGCTCACCACCCCCCCAAAACAGGTACTGGGAGAGGTGAAGAGGGGGCTTTCTCATGGTCTGATGGGCACAGGAAATCTGTCCTGGCCCTAGAAAAAGCCCCAAGGGGCAGAGGGAAGGGCCAAGTAGGGGTAAGGGTGGTCGGTCACCCAAGTTCTGGCCCCATCTGCGTCACTAAATGCTGTGTGGCCTTAGCATGTTGCTGCGCTTTCTGAGCTTAATTTCCTCATCTGAGAAACGGAACACACTAAATGAGCTGCCTTCTGTGCTGTAGGGTCTGGAGATATCTGGAGATATCTGGAGACAGGCAGGGGAGGGGGCGCCACTGTGGGAGGGACCGGACGGGGTGCAGGGGGCCCCCCAGCACTCACCCGTTCTGGAAGGCAGCCCGGGGGTCCTGGCTGCTGCGCACGTAGATCATGAGCAAGGTGAAGAGGAAGAAAAAGGCTGCTGTAGCGAAGCACATGCGGTAGACGGCACGATGGCCGAGCAGGGAGCCACAGTCAATATGGCTCTGCAGGATGATGGTGCTCCCGGGGCCCTCATCACACACCCATGGCAGCTGTGGGGACAGACATTGCCGCTTGACGGCCCCATCCTCCCTGGGCTTGATTCTGCCAAGGCCTGCCCTGAGGAGGCCCACCCAGCAGGGGTGGGGCCAGGAGGAGGCCTTCCCAGCAGGAGCAGTGCCAGGAGGAGGCCTTCCCAGCAGGAGCAGTGCCAGGAGGAGGCCCTCCCAGCAGGGGCAGGGCCAGGAGGAGGACCTCCCAGCAGGGGTGGGGCCAAGAGGAGGACCTCCCAGCAGGGGTGGGGCCAGGACAGGAGCTGAGCCTGCCACTCCATCCCCATAGCTACCCACGCCTGGGGCTGAAGTCCTAGGCGTACCCACACACACACACACACAGCCGGTCTAGTTACGTCTTGTTACTCTGTTCATTTCCCTGTCATCCTGCCCACAGCCTCAGAACGCATGGCGCTGTCTAAGGCAGGATTTCCCAAGATGCCCTCCACCCACCACCTACACCAGATTCCCTGAGGTTCTTCTGGAAACCGAGACTCTGAGGCCCGTCTCCTGCAGGACTGGCGTCTCTGAGGTGGCTCCGAGGCTGCATTTCCCGCTCCCCCGGGATTCATGCCTGTGTACCCACTAAAGTGTCACACCACTGGCCTAAGTGTCCCACTGGGTGCATGCTGGGCCACGAAACACTTGGATGAAGGGGAGAGTTGGGACCCCCAAACTGGGCTTGCACATTAAAAAGGGGAGAGCTTGCTGGGGCCAGAATCTTAGGGGCAATAATGATTAATATGATTTTCCCAGGAGACCATGGCTTACGAGAACCAATTATCCCCAGGTGAGGCTCAAACCCTCCTTCCCACTGAACAACTGCCCAGGACACACCTGCCCACCTCTTCTTGGTCAGCTGGGACCCCAAGCCTGGTCCCTGAGCAGCAGGCCCCCCAGGCTGCTCCCTGGGCACTCCCAGACCCTCCTCCTCCCCGGGCTGCTCACCTTGTGGAGCTGGCTCTCCACGCCAGGGCTCAGCATGATGAGGGACACCAGCACCCCCAGGAAGAGGAAGAACGTGAAGATGAGGCGGCTGATGGTGGAGTTGCGGCTGGAGGGGCAGCAGCCACACAGGATGCAGGGGGCAGAGCCACAGAGGCAGGAGGCCTGCAGGGAGGACAGGACAGCACCCTTACCTCTGCCTCCCCTCCCGGCCATGCCCGAGCACGCAGCACCCACCACTGCCCCTTCGATGCCTCCAGATCTGCACCGAGCCCGCCTGTACAACCCCAGGCCAGTGTGATCCCACGTAACTTCCAAGCCTGAGGGGGAGGCTGAGGAAACCACGCTCGGAAGAGGCCGCGTCACACAGGGTCACACCGCCGGCAAGGAAAAGAACCCGGATTCAAACCTCAGGTGCTACCGTGGCTTCGGGGAGAGAGTTGGCCACGCTGTGTCTTACTTGGGGGGAGGCAGAGTAGTAAAAAAATAAATGCTTAAAAATCCAGGCGTCTAGCTCCATTGCTGATTAGCTCTGTGACCTTATACAACTCACTCAACCTCTCCGAACTGCAGTGTCCGCTTCTACAAAACCGGAATCAGAGGGCACCTACTTCTCACAGGGCAGTTGTCAGAATGAGATAGACGTTTCCTTTCCTTGTTTCACTTTCCTCCATAGGACTTACTATCATCTGCGAAGGTTCAGAGTTTACTTATGTTTGTCCGCCTCCCAGGTCTAGCATGCACGCTCCCCCACGGCAGGAATTTCTGTCTTTTTTGCTCGCTGTGGTTTTCCCAGGAAGCGAACAGTGCCTGGCACATAGTAGGAGCTTAGTGACCATCTGGTGAAAGAATGCAATGGTTCTGGGGTAGCACCAGGCGCATATGCAGACCGCAGGAAGCAGCAAGCACATGGTAAACACCTGCTGAATGAATGGAATGAAGACCTGTGAGTAGCCGGGAGTTCCTACTCTGGGGCTGACGGAAACCGTTCAGGGGCTGGTGATGCCACGCCAGTCACAGGCGGGGCCCCAAAGAGCCTCAGCCCTCGGGGAGCCGGGCCTACCTGCCAAGCCTCTGCAGAAGTTTGTCTTCCCAACAGCCCCAGCTCCTCAGCCAGGCACTTGAGAGTCCAGAAAGGCAGGGCCCCGCCTTCGTGGAGTTCCCAAGGGCAGGAAAGACACTCAACAGATCATTACCCCGTGAGTGCTAAGAAGAAAACGTGCATGCCGCCCTCAGTGACAGATGGGGGCCTAGTTTAGTTGGGGGTGGCGCGTCACTTCCCTGAAGAAGTGACAATGTCTCCTGACCACGGAGAAGAAGCCTGCTCCCGGGAACAGAGCCCGGGGTGGCTCTGGGGCAGGCAGGAGCTGGGCAACGGAGGAACGAAAAGAAGGACCTTGTGCCCAAAGCTGCGTGACAGGCAGCGAGCGGTGAGTGGTGAGGTCGATGAGGATGGCAGGACTGGGCAGCAGTGGGCATCCACTCAGGGGTCTGAAGCCAGGAGGGACTGGAACAGCCTTATGCTGAATGATCGGTTTTGTGGAGAACAGGCTAAAAGGGGACCTTGCTCCTCTGCGACCCGGCACCCCGATCTCTGGACTGGTCCTGGGCGTAAGGCACGCTCTGCTTGAAGTGCCCTGCCTTCCCGTCTGCCCTCCCCCCCTCCCCCAGACTTGAGCTGCTCCTTCTCACCCAACTCCCACCTGCAAAGCCAAGGGCAGGAATGCTAAAGGAAATGCTTGCAGAGTGAATTCTCCCTCATGTCCAAAGCATAACAGTTCGCTCAGCCCGCAGCTTGGAGTTGTATCCCACAGCCCCCACTTCAAGCCCCGGCTCCTATCCGTGGCCGCCTTTTGGGTTTCAGGAGGCAAGCAGGTGCCAGGAAAATGTTTTGTAAACCAACCACAAGAGCATTCTGGCCACCAGACAAAGCTGGCTATTAGTTCCCGTTTACACATGAGGAAACTGTGCTCAGAGAAGTTAAAAAACATGCCCTCGCTGGTTTGGCTCAGTGGGTAGAGTGTCAGCCTGTGGACTGCCGGGTCCCGGGTTCGATTCTGGTCAAGAACGCATGCCCGGGTTGCGGGCTTGATCCCCAGTAGGAGGAGTGCAGGAGGCAGCCAATTAATGATTCTCTCTCATCATTGATGTTTCTCTCTCTCTCTCTCTCTCCTTCTCCCTTCCTCTCTGAAATCAATAAACTACTTTTAAAAAAAGAAAAAAACTTGACAGAAGTCATACAGTAAGTGGACAGCAGTGCTGAGCTTCAAGTCATAATAGTGCCAGCTTCCCCGATGAAGAGTGAATTCTCCCTCAGCCCCAGGCACTGCGGGAAGCACCGTACCCACATTAAACCCACCGACACCATAATGTATGTGTAAATGGGGAAACGGAGCCTCAGAGAGGACACAAGGCCAAGGGCGCAGAGCAGTGAGCTCAGGAGCTGGGATCCGGCTCAGGTTTATCTGCACCAAGGACTCACAAACGTGTGATTGCACGATGGCAGCCTGGCGTCATTTCAAAAGGCTCCAGTGATGACCACAATCCCGCCGGTGCCAGAGAAAACCAAGGGAGGTCAGCACCAACTGACCTCAGGAACCGGTGCCCAAGTGCCCAGGGCAGGGCCCGGCTCCGTCTTGTTGCCATTTCAACCTAAAACATTTGCGATGTAAGAAAAGCCGCCCCAATGCAGTCAGGGAGCCTGGCCTTTCAATTCACTGTTTTTTGGAGATCAAAATCCGGGTGTAACTGACACCTGAAACCTCAGGATTCCCTGAGCCAGCAGTGGCCAGAGAGACCAAGTCAGGAGAGAAAAATTCACGCCAGCCGCAACCCCCCCACCCCCACCCCCGCCCCTTGGCCACCCCAGCTGCTTCAGAAGCAACCTTGAAACATTCATGCTCTCTGACAGTCCTGCCCCCTGTGGGGATCTCTCCTACAAGAACCTCTTCCTACAGAAGTACCAGCCGAGGGAGGAAGGGCAGACGCCCACCCCCGCACACTCGGAAGTCCACTGTGGCACTTGTTCACGCCAGGAAAATAACAGGGGGAAATTGAAAATAAATGCTCAGCGGTGCGTCATGGCACTCCCTAAGAGAGCTGGCTATTTCTGCTAAAGGGAGCAGATGGGGAGGTGCTACTTAAATGGGTCCATGTAACTAAATATAATTAAATTACACCTCAATAAAGTTGGTTTTATTATTTAAAAATAAAAATGTTTAATTAAGGGGGGGGGGAATAAAATAGGCGCAAAGCTTTAGGTTTTATGAGGTTATTAGAATCTGGAGAGACTGCAAATGACCTCAATGCCCAGAGGCCAGTGGTGGCCCACTTACTGCATGGACGTTATAGAGACAGGAAAGATGAAAGTCACTAGGCCGCAGAGCAGCCTGGGCTAAGGGTTATGATGCAATGTGAGAGGCCCAGGCGACTATAAAACTTCCCCCATGAAGATTACAGCTCCCACCCCCACCAAGCGCGCTCAAGGCAAAGGCAGCCTTAGCACCAGGCAGGTTCTCTGAGTGGAGAATATGAAGCCCTGGTCTTAGAGTCTTCCAGTTGGAGGTTGCTTGGCATTCAACCAATCCAGCCTCTGGTGCAGAATCACCAGTAAGGCAGCTGGCTATATCCCCTGCTGCTTGCACACTGTCACTGACAAGGAGCTCACTACCTCCCCAGGCAAGCTAGACAGCCCTGCAGCTGTCAGTGGTTTGGCATGGTGGAAAGAGGCTGTCACCAAGGCATTCACACATGTTTCAACATGGATGAACCTTAAGGACATTATGCTAAGTCAAGTAAGCCAACCCAAAAATATAAACACATAGGATCCCACTCATATGAGGTACACAGAGAAGTCAAATGCATAGAGACAGAAAGTAGGATGGTGCTTACCGGGAACTGGGGGTAGGGGAGTGAGGAATTACTGTTTAATGGGTAAGGGGTTTCAGTTTGGGGGAACATGAAAAAGTTCTGAAGATGGATGGTGGTGATGCTTGCACTATGTGAAAGGTACTTAATGTCACTGAACTGTATACTTAAAATGGTTAAAATGGTACATTTCACGTTATGTATATTTTACTATAGTAAAAAAAAAAAGAAAGAAAAAAAGGAGGGGACAGAGTTTTCAAGGAACAGTAGTAAGGCAGCTAAGTGAGGAAGGAGAGGGTATTCCTACACAGGAAATAACATGTGCAAAGCTAAGAGGAACGCTGTGTTTTCAGGGTAGCTGGGCAATAAAAGAAGCTAAAATGGTGACAGAGGTGATGGCCAGGGTCCCGCAGGCCATGCCCAGGAGTCTGGGTTGTATCCTGCAGGCAAAGGGGAACCATTGCTAAAGAACAGATCAACATCAGATTTGCATTTTAGTTTTGGTGTTTGTTTTTGTTGGTGTTGTGGTTAATCCTCACCTGAGGATATTTTTCCTTTGATTTTTAGAGAGAGTGGAAGGGAGGGAGAGAAACAGAGAGAAACACATGGATTGGTTGCCTCCCGCCTGTGCCCCGATCAGGACCAGGGATTGAGCCTGCAATCCAGATACGTGCCCTTGCCATTGATCAGAATTGAACCCGGGACCCCTTGGTCCACGGGCCAACACGATATCCACTGAGCCAAACTGGCTAGGGCCAGATTTGCCCTTTAGAGCTGTCACTTGGCCACAGAGTGGAAGACAGATCAGGGGAGTGGAATGCAGTGTCTTTGGGAACAGAGGGAGAGAGTCGGGGGTGGTTCTCAATAATGCAGAGAACTGAGACCAAGGAAAAGTCAGCCTCTAGAATTCCCACTGTGTGCATTAGCCAATAATATTTACTCCTGACAATACCACTCATTGATACCATTAGGCTTGTATTTAGCAAATGCCCATTTTAATACGTATCATGTTTCTTAAAATAAATGACAAACTCCTTGAAGACTAAAACAGTATTAAATAGTAAAACTTACATTATCTATTTTACCATAATTAGATTAAAAATGGTCCCAGCAAGGAGATGTGAATGAGCCAGCCTAGAACTAGACAGAACACAGGGAGGAGAGGTCAGCCCCAAACTACTCAAGCACAATTACTCCCCCCGTGCAGTGCTGAGAACAGAGGGCTCTGCCACCAGCTTGCAGAATGACCTTAGACAAGTCTCTTTTCCTCTCCATGGGACTCAGTTTCTTCATTCATAAAATGGGCTACTGGGCAGGATAGGAAAGTGGCTCAGAGCCCAGGCTCTATGGTCAGACAGCCCTGGGTTCTACCCGCCTCACCACTTCCTTGCATGTGGCCTAAAGCAAGTTACCACCCTGGGGTGTTTACAGAGTGGCCATTACAAGCCAGCTTCATGCTAAAGGTGTCGGCCTGTTTACCTCAGTCCCATTTAATACAAAGTGTGAGAGGCAGGTACCACTGTTCTCCCACTTTACAGACAAGGAGAGAGAGGAAGTGACTGCCCACGGTCCAGCAGCTGAGAAGAGGCCAAGCCAGGATCTCAGTCCAACCAGTCCGACCCAAAGGCCTTTCCCACGCCCTCGCACATAGAAGGCGCTCCCTAAACACATATTTGCTCACCACCCATCTATCCTGCGCTGGCTTGCCTGGCGGTTCCCACCCTCTGTGGGCCCCTCTCACTTCCTGCAGGCCAGGACTCAGCTCCAGCCGAGAGAGAACCATGAGGGGCAGCTGCAAACGCTTCACGATGGAAGGGCAGAGAAGTCTTCCCCACCAAACCGTCCCGCTAAGGATGCGGGAACTTCACTGCTGTCCGGCAAATCTCCATGGAAACAGGTTGTTACTGGTTCCAGTAGTAACCACTGCACAATGTAATACCGTGGGCAGAACAGACGCAGCGTGAACTTTACTATTTTAATGCTTTTTGTCTTCAACGAGCTGGTAATTTACCTTAAGAATCAGGATAGATATTAAAATGGATATCTAACAAATACAACCCTAATGATGTCAATCAATGAGTGGTATTGTCAGAAGGAATAAATATTGGCTAAAGCACACAATGAGAATTCTAGAATCTGACTCTTCCTCGGTGTCCGTTCTCTGGATTCATCTTCCCTCTCTGATCCAGTTTCCTCCTCTGTGAAATGGGAATGATATGAACTGCCTCACTGGGATCATTGTGAGTACTACATGAAAGGACATGTATCAGCCCTGGCTGGGGTGGCCCAGTTGGTTGGGTGTCATCCCATGCACCAAAAAGTTATCAGTTCCATTCCCAGTCAGGGCGCTTAGCTAGGTTGCAGATTTGATCCCTTGTCAGGGCAGGTAGTGGAGGCAACCTATCGGTGTTTCTCTCTCACACTGATGTTTCTCTCTCTCTCTCTCTCTCCTCTTTCTCTCTCTCTCTCTCCTTCTTCCCTCTCTCTAAAATCAATAAAACATGAAAGAAAGAAAGAAAGAAAGAAAGAAAGAAAGAAAGAAAGAAAGAAAGAAAGAAAGAAAGAAAGGGAAAGAAAATATATCAAGTGCTCACTATAGTGCTGGGCCTGTGCCACCACCGGACAGCTTTGGGCAGTGAGTGCTGGGCCTAGGGTAGGATGTGGTAAATGGTAGCTGCTGTTGGTATCCTTATTTGTCAAACAGAATAACTATGTCGCAGGGCTGAGGGGAAACCAATGAAATGGCATGAGTGAGCAGTTCAGCACAGTGCCTGGCACGCAGTAGGTGTGCAGTAAATGTCAGAGGTCAGAACCACCAAGGGAGGCCACTGAAAGGCGGTTCCTTGCAGATATCTGATGCCCACTAAGTGGCACTCTCTAGTCTACCTGGGCAGCCCTGTCCCTCAGGCAGCTAGGACATGAGAAGAAGTCTGGATCACAAAACAGACTTTAATCCTCCCTGCAGTTCCCCATCCTTTCACTGTGCAACCTTAGGCAAGCCAGCTACCCACTCTGTGCTCCATTTTCCTCTGGAGGAGCCTGTCAGGTGCCCTCCGGTCTCAGCGCAGTAGAATTCCATGACTCAGGACCAGCACTCAGCTCCGGAGGAAATCTCCACCCACCTTTCCAAGATGATAGTAACCAGGGCTCCCATTTTGAGCACGCACTAAACGCCAGGATTGGGTGGGGCGCTTTCGATCTTTCCAACAGCCTTAGGAGAGAAAGGCACGGGAGATTGGCAAGTCTCCCCTCAACATCCCTACCCCCAGCCAGAGGGAAACCTGCTCAGCTCCTAGGAAACGCTCCCTCCCCCATCAGGAAGCAAACTTCCTGGCCAGAGACCCAGCCCAAACCTTGATTTCTTAAGACGGGGAGGGATTTCAGGGACCAGCTCTAGATTCCTCCTCCTGTGTGTGCACAGGCACGCACTTCACAGATGGGGAAATGGAGGCCCAGAGAGGACGAGAGACTGTCCAGGGACCCATGGGACAGCTATCATTCTCAAAAAAATGGCCATAAAGTAAATCTCTAGATCCTCCAGCTCCTGCCCCTCCACCCCCATCCCAACGCACACACATGCACGCACACACATGCACACACATGCGCGCGCAGACACACACATCTGGGACAAAGGAAGGCAAGTCCTGGGATTCAGCAGCCACCAGACCCCTCACCCCCCCCCCCCCCCCCCCCCCATTCCTCTCTGCTCCTCTTTGTGTGGGGCAGAGGGGGAGGGGCACGCCTGAATGAGCCTCGGATTTAATGAGGGGAAAAGGAAAAGAGGAGGGAGCTAGGAAAAGGAAAAGGGGCAGGGGCCTCTCAGCTGGGGTCTGGCTGAAGCTCCTCCCCTATGCTGGCTGCAGCCCCAAAACTGAGGCGGGCTGGCTCCCAGGCCCTGAGCCCAGGCGGGCGACCGGGTACTCCTTCCCCCCCACCCCACCCCACCCCACACACACACCCTCCCCTCCCTCAGTTCTTGGGGCTTCTAGCCCAGAGTTGCGCCGGGGGAGGCACCAGCACAGACCTCTCCCAGTGTCTTAGAAAGGCAGACAGGGGCTTCCTGCCCACTCCCCACTCTGCCCGGGGGCCCAGAGGGGCGGGTCTGGGGCTCCTTGGAGAAGTGCCAGGAATTAGCCTGAGCCAGACTGAATGTGCGGAGACAAGGACTCATTGGACGGGCGGACAGACGGACAGACCCTGAACTGTAGACAATGACAGATGGAGAAGCCACAGACGGACAAAGACAGTCGGACAAACGAACGGACCGAGACAGACAGCTGATAAATACTAATGAACAAACGGAGGCCGACGGGCGGGGGCAGACAGACTAAGGGAGAGATGGCAAAGGGACAGAGGACCCAGGGCAGAGAGGGCCGGGGGCCGGGCAGGCCTCACAAAGAGTCGGGGCGTCGGGGAGACAGACCACGAAACGCGCGCCTGGAGGACGTCTCCAAAGCCGGGCGCGGCGGGGCCGCAACACCCACCCCCACCCCAGCCCGAGCCTCAGTCTCCCCAGCTCCCGGGAGGGGCCGGCGGAGAGCACTCCCTCCCCCGCCCCGGCGCGCCCCACCCCTCCCCCGCGGTAACCCGAGGCCCGGACTGCAGCTGTCTCGGTCGCCCGGGGCCAGGGCTGGGGCGGGAGTGGGGGGAGGGAAACCGAGTGACCGGGGGCCCGGGGCGCGGAGGCGGGGTGCGGACCCAGAGAGACAAGTTCGGAGGAAGCACATGAAGAAACTGTTCGGAGGGAGAAAACAGGACAAGAGTGAGCAGGCGGCGCGCCGGCGCTGGGGTGGGACTCACGCAGCTGAGCAGGGAGCAGGCGCCCAGGCAGGCGCCCATGGCGGCGGCGGCGGCGGCGGGTCGGGGGCGCGGGGCGCGGAGGGGCGCGGAGGGGCGCGGGCCGCGGGATCCGCTCCGGCTCCGGGTGCCCCGGCCTGGCCCCGCCCCGCGCCCAATGGTCCCGCCCCGGCCCCGCCCCGCCCCACCTGGCAAAGCTGCTCACGGTTTTCCGGTGCCGGTGCGCTCCGGCCTCCCGGGACTCACCGCGGCAGGTGCGCGCGGCGGAACCCGGGGAGGGGGCGGGGGGGGGAGCGGTGCCTCCCGCGGCTGCGCGAGCCTGGCAACCGGACCGGGCTCAGGCGGGAGCTCGTGTCCTGGTCCCAAGTGAGGGTTTGGAAATACTGAGACCTGGGTTCGAATCCGACCGAGGCCACAGTGTGACCTCACAGCACTGGCCCCCTGCAGGGGTCAGAGGCCAAGAGGTGGTCACCCCTGATTCCTCCGCGCTTGGCGCAGAGCCTCCCAGCCCAGTACACAGGTGTGGAAGGATGAGTGATCGGATAGAGAAACAGACAAGTCACGTCACCTCTCCGAGCCTCACTTTTTCCATCTGTGAAGTTAGGACGCCTACCTCACGGGGCTGTTACAACCCATGCTAGATGCTTGACAGATGTGCGCTCCCTGTCTCATCTAAGACCCTGGCCTTGCACCCTGTCAGCTGCCATTCCCTCTAGCCACCTGTCCCTCAATCTCTACTGAACCCTTGACGCCACACGCCAACAGGCCCCCAGAGCCACCCTGTTTAGCGGCCCCTCCCTCCGAAAGATGCCCAAACCCTGGCCCCCAGCTAAGGAGGTCAGAGAGGGTGTGTGTATGGAGGGGGGGGGGGGGGTCGGGGGTTACATTCCTGGCAGACTGTCCAGTCCCAAAGGGGTAGGTGGAAGGGACGCAGAAACGGGCTCTGTAATTACTCCAGGTTCACCCTCCAGCCCTCTCCTCACTCAACCCTAGACGGGATCATGTTAGGAAAGGAAATCGAGAGCCGCACAAATGGCCCCAGGGCTAAAGATGCCGCCTGACTGCATCCCTGGGTGATTCACGGTCCAGGGCCCCACGGATATTCCCTTCACTCTCCCTCCTCCATGCTGGTGCCCATGCCGTGTCCTTCTCTGCGAAAGTTCTCTTCCTCCTCACCCCAGTTTCTGCCCTTTGAAGCCTTATTCACATCCCATATCCTCTCTGTGAAGAGAACCATCCCCTCCCCCCAAACCTCTGCCTGGTCCTGTGAGGAATGAATGGTCCAACTTCCCTGTGTTTCTACAACGTGAGCCTCCGTGTTGTCCTCACAAATAACGCGAGTTACCACAAAGCTGGACGCTCTTTCGCCTACATGGTGCCATTCAAGCCCCACGATAACCCTGGAAGTAGATTCACTCCTCACCTCACCCCAATGTACAGATGAGGAAACTGAGACTCAAAGAAGTCAAGTGCTGTCCTATGTGCAAACTGAGCACGAGGTAAACATTGCCTGTGCCTATGCGGTTGTTGTTATTGTGGCTCAAGGTCACACCGCTCAGAAGGGCAGAGCTAGAAGACCACCCCACCTGGCCTTGATCTCAAGCCCGAGGCCTGTCCCAGACACCTCACTGCCTGTCTTGGAAAGTGGGGGTGACAATGTCCAGCCCCCCCCTCTTTGGGTCCAATAATATGTTCAGTCCTTCCCGAGTCCCAGGCCCTTAGGAGACGCTGAGCGGCCCAGGGACTGTCTGATTCACCTCCGACAGGAAGGCAGTAAATGCTTGCGGAGTGAATGGGTGTCTGAACTTTTAACGCAAGCCATTTCCTCATTCCTCTGTGACTGGCTGACCCCAAAGCAGCTGATACAGTCTTCTGCCCCTGGAATGCCACCAAGCGGCCTTCTCTCAGCCTCCCACCTGAATCAGCTGCTTTTGACACTTGTGCTCTAAGGGCCTAATTTCCACTCCTCAGCCCCTCCCTTTCCCGTGAGCTGATCCCGGTAGAAAGGCCAGGCCGAGCCAGACCAGAGAGAGACTCTTGCCCCTCACAGCCTCTCGCACACTCTGCTGGGGGCCACGCCATCCCCTCCCCTGCAATGGGGGTGGTTCTGCTTATCCTCCCAGAGCAGGTGTGAGCACTGAGAAGGCACTCACAGAGACGGGCAGTTATCTGAGAGGAGTGGGAGGAGCTGAACTGCAAGTGTGAAAAAGAAAGCCCCCTCTGGTTTCAGATAGAAATTTTCCAGAACAGGGCTGCATTGTCCTGGACTCACCTTGCCCGAGACCGAGGTGACGCGGGCTCTCCCGTCCCCTCACCCTGTATCGCCCTGCAAGGAGGGGCAGCCTACTCTGCAGATACTCACTGTGTCCTGTCCTGGCGAATCATCCTCGTTCAGCCTCATGCTTCTCATCTGTAAAAGGGAGAGAATCCTTTTGGCTCCCGGTATCTCAGGGGACTTTCGAGGAGATGAAATGAGGAGGTAGATAAAGAAGCTTCATTTCTCTATGTCCTGACCAGCCTTGCTCCCAGCCTTGACCTCCTGCATGAGGCCAGAGTCACTGCCTCTCACACCTCCAAAGGCAAGATCACAGTCATTACTGTGTTCTTGGGAAGTCACCCAACCTCTCTGAGCCTCACTGAGGCTGAGATCCAGGACCACCGCAGCAACCACGCATTGCCATGCTGACTGTGTCCATCGCGAGAAACACACAGAGGTCCCTGGTCCATCCCCCTGTGCCCATCACCCAGCCCAGATAGATGCTCTGCTCTCCAGGACCCAGAGGAAGCAGGCTCTGGCTTCTCGAGCCAGTCGCTCGAAGCATTCCTTAATCTGCTCTCACTGGGCCTCAGTTTCCAAATCTGCAATATAGGAACAAGCCCCTGCTCAAGTCCCCAGAGGCCCCCAATAACTCCAACCCATCTTGCCCCATCCCTTCTCACCATCCTCCCGTCCATGGGGACTCAGATGCACTCTGGCTTTGAGCCTCCTGTCCCCTGGGCCTCACTCTCTGCACTGCCTCCACTTCCCGCTTCTGAGGCATTTACAGAGCAGGGCTGGAACTATCCCTTATGAATATGCATGTGGGATAATGAGGGCTTGGGATTGGGGGAGCCTCTGGGAGAGGCGTTCACAGAGGCATCATCCATGCCCACTGGCTCTCTCCATACACAGCCCCCACCAAGGCTGCCCTCCCTCCCAAAGGGTGCATGGGAGTTTGGGGCAAAGAATACCCACAGCAACCATTGTTAAGTGCTTACAACCGGCCAGGCATCCTGCTAAGAACATCTCCTGTAAGGTGCTTCTAAGGTGGGAACTATTTTCCCCACTGAACAGGGAGGAAAATTGATGCTCCATGAAGGGAAGTAACTTACACATATGTCACATGTGGAGGGTGCACAGTGGCTAAGTGCAGAGAGAGGATGGAACCCAGGTGTTGTCAGACTCCAGAGCTGGGGCTCTGAACCCCTGCTGCCCAGGTGCCCGGGGGCTCACCTGGAGCCACCCCTCAACCTCACACTCCAGCAGAGGAGCTCACCGTGGTCTTAGGTGACCAAGGCTTTGGGAAAGGACCTGGGTCCTGGAATTCACTTCATCTCCAGAGAAGGAGACAGGCAGACAGGTGTGTGCAAACAGTGCGTGTTCACACGTGTGCGGACACACAGCGGATGCATGTGTGAGCATAGGTGCACGCACAGTGTGTGTGCACATGGATGTAAGCGTGTGTGACAGGGGTGTCCTGAGGCTGCCTGTGTATGCACTGCTGTGCTGCTTTTGTTCCTGTTACAACCAACACTTGGGAGGCCCCCTGTGTGCCAGGGGCAGAGATGTGGTGTGAACGAGGCCAACACCGTCTGTGCCCTCCTGGCGCGGCAGTTTGGTGGGCTTTGTGCCCACACGCGGTTAACACTCTACAAGGAATCTTTGTGGGAGGTTTTCTTGGTGGGATGTGCTAGGAGGTGAGGAGACTGTGGTGGAAAATTTTTTTAAAAAGTGGGACAGCCCTAGCCGGTTTGGCTCAGTGGATAGAGCGTCAGCCTGCGGACTCAAGGGTCCCAGGTTCGATTCCGGTCCAGGGCACATACCTTGGTTGCGGGCACGTCCCCAGTGGGGAGTGTGCAGGAGGCAGCTGATTGATGTTTCTCTCTCATTGATGTTTCTAACTCTCTATCCCTCTCCCTTCCTCTCTGTAAAAAAAATCAATAAAATATATTAAAAAAATAAAATAAAATAAAAAGTGGAACAGGTCGGGTAGGGAGCTGCAGGGGAGCCCCTGATGCTTGGCCAGAAATGAGGGGTGCAGAGTAAGTCAGGACCTGGCACGGGTTCCACGGGGGTCACAGGTCTGAGGATTCTATGAGGACTTTGGGTGCTTTCCGCACAGACATCAAGGGGCTGCCGTGAATGCACATGTGGGCACTGTGTGTGTGTGTGTGTGTGTGTGTGTGTGTAACTTTCTGTGTGTGTGCATGAGTGATTAGGTGTGGTGTTTGCATATGTGGATCCATGTGGATATGTGTGTGGAGTGGACATGTGTGAATGGGTAAGTCATATGCAGTGTGTGCATATAGGTTTTTGCATGTAGGTGTGGGGTGTGTGTGTGTGTGTGTGTGTGTGTGTGTGTGTGTCAGGGCTTGTTAATGTAGGGGAGAAGGCTGAGAGAAGAGAGTGTCATTTGGCCCAGGCCTCACATTCATAAGCCTAAAAAATGTATCAAAAAATGAGATGGAGCCCAATTGGCGTGGCTCAGTGATTGAGTGTCAACCTATGAACCAGGATGACACAGTTCAATTCCCGGTCAGGGCACATGCCCAGGTTGCGGGCTTGATCCCCCGTGGGGGGCGTACAGGAGGCAGCCGATTAATCATTCTCTCTCATCATTGATGTTTCTATCTCTCCCTCTCCCTTCCTCTCTGGAATCAATAAAAATATATTTTTAAAAGACGAGATGGATGAATGGAGGGATAGATTGATGACTAGACGGGTGGATGGATTTGGATGGATTGATGGATAAAAGGAAAGCAGGACAGATAGAGGGATGGATATGTAATAAAGCAAATATTGCAACACCTTCATTGTAAATTCCAGGCAGTGAGGATGTGGGTGTTCGCTGTACAATTCTTTCAACTTTTCCGGGTGATGGAACTTTTCC